ATGATTTTAATATTCTTAACATTGAAAATAGGAAAATTTTTATTAATTTTTATACAATTTTATCGATATACCTATTGGTAGTGTTAATATATAGTTTTTTATCATCGTAAATAAATAGGGTAGATATTTCTGTGAATATTTTGTTTGTTAGACTACTTTTCTTTTATTTTATCTTTGGTGGCGTTGTATTTCCTCTAAATTTCTTAATAAGGTCTTCTATTTGTGCATGCTGAAACGTTTCTCAATTTGATTTTTTGACTCTGACACACCTTTTGTCTCTGTGCTCTTCTGGAATATAGGTGCGTAATTTCCAGTCGAACTGAACTTATCGATGAAGCTGAGGTTCTTTTCTCTGGTACTACCTTTACTTTGAGTAGCAAATGTGGGCCTAGACAAGTTATATGAGAAGTTAATTTGTGTTTGATTCTTAAATAGCACTTAGTACATTCGTTTTAGGGAAATACTCATCGTTTCACGATCAGCAGGTGACAAGGAAATTCATTTATTTTTGACATCCTAAATGCTGAACTTCGGGATTGTATATAAAAAACGATTTTTCCAGGCGTCTCTTTGCTCTGGCTCATTTAAAAATATCCTGTTATCAAACACTAAGTTTCACATAAGTAAAGACTGTTGATATCTCTTTAAGTGGCACGCTTCTTATTCCAAGTTTATTTTATCAGCTCCAGATAGGATTGATTCTAAATGTCGTATGCTTATTTTTCCAATAAAGTGCCAGCAGTTGAAACTAGATATCACAAGCCAAATCATAATATTTTTGTCCTTTGTGATATTTAATGTTCTTTATTTGTTGTGACTATCTAAGCTATCATGCTTGCATTGATCTATTACTTCATGATTTCTGATAAGATCATTTACTTTGTTTTCCTTAAAGCTTTTCTTTCAATATCCAAATAAATACACAAAAATGTTGCGGTTTTCCCCATTAGTTAATCGATTTATATTTATTAATATAATTACTTATTTCCAATTCAGTCAACATTTATCGGCCCATCCAATGTATGCTGAAATACAAGGCTGAGGGTTTAGCAAGGCTTTTTTAAAAAATTCCCCGAATGCCTATGATTACCTCTAGGGTATTCTCTTTTCGGTTGGATTCCATTTGGACACAGTGGTTACAAATTACGTTGACATTCTCTATAGTAACCTGTGTTTTAGCCTTTAGCTGAATAGCATTGCCAGATTTAGTTTCAATTACTCAGTTTTTACATAGTAATATTTTATGGTTTATTTATATGTATACATATCTTATATTCTTATATTTGTAAATTACTACTGCACTACTACTTACATCAAATTATTGTTTTCTTATTTCCTTTCACGAAGCCCATTTTTATCAGGGCTTCATTATTATTATTTGTTTAATCGCCCCTGAACTAAATTTTTACACTTAGAATAATTATTTTCGCTTATTCGAGTAATAAAACTATTATAACTCAAATAACCTCGAGCATTATAAAGAGATTACGTTATTCTAGAATTATTAATTTTTTAAAAACTTACTCGGTAGATTTACTTGCTATTATTTACAATTGCATTTCGATTATTTGCTTTCTGATACCAATATACATTTCATTTTCAATGGATAACTCCTTAGTACACTTTTTAGACTCGGATGGAATAATATATAAACAATGTGCTCAACTTGTTCAGCCTGATTAGATTTACTATATTCAATTACGCCGCCAACTGAGCTTCATTATTTTAATTCCTTTCTTTCTACCAGGCTTGTATACAACTCCAGTCCACTTCTTCTTGCCAGAGTTCTGCATCCGCGCATAGTTAGCAGCCATATGGCACGCATGTTGGCTAGCCCTGAGACACGGATCCTGGCGGGCGCCCTTCGGCTAGCTCATTTGCTTATAGATCAGGTGCCTAGCGTATTTCCTGCTTATTTTCGTAAAGAGGGCGTTCTCCATCGAGTTACCCGACTCTCCAGAGCTCCACTGACCGCTGCTCTAGCATCTTCATCCGCGTCATGCCTCCTGTCGGGCGAGAGTATCAGGCCAGTCGGGTCAACTGACGGATTATACACTTCAACGTCCACTACGTCTACAAACCCTAACTCCTTGTTTGGGTTACCTTATCTGGCTACCACTACTGCCGCTGCCATTGACTCCAACACGGAGACTGGTAGCTCAGCTTTACCCCCATCACTGCCATCGGAAATTCCACAGGAATTGCTGACCGTACCGAATAATTTGAGTGTTCCAGCTTCATCTCCAAGCTCACATCAGAATCGCCTAACCGATCTTTTCCATCGATGCCATAGACTTCCACGAACTTGTCAACCCACTACTATTTCTTCAGTCTCTTCTGCTATTTTGCCTGTCATGCAAAACGAGCCATCTAATACTGCGAATGGCACCATTGATGGCCATTCTTATATTATCTCGCAGGCCTCGACAGGTATTACTTCTTGTTCACGTCTGGTAAAGCGCGGTATAGGCGCAGCCATGCAATTTTCCAAACAGGAGACATGCACGCGAATGACTGATGAGGCAAGTTTCGTGGATGCGGCTAAGGATGAATCACTTTTAGCATATTCTTCCTCGATAAGAGGTGGGAATAAAGAAGTTTCTATTATCTCGCCCGTAAGTATTTGTGTTACTATTATTTATTCCACTCTTATTATATTATGTGTTTTTATTCCTAGATGTATATCTATCACCTAGTCTGCCTCATTAAAGAATATTTCTTCATACTTTTAGTTACTACTCTATTAAATCATCTAAAGCTATGTCTAACTCTAATATTATCGATGAAGAATGGTCACGTTCTTTTAGCCTCTCTTTCTCAGTGCTACATTCCGACATTTTCGACCCTATCTGCTGCAAAACCTCATGCTTAGATAAGGATTGTTTACAAAAACACAAACCCTCTAAGTACTACTACAAATATATGTAAATAAAATGATGACATCTTTTTAATGAATGATGACAACATTGAAATAAGGATGACATTAAAAAATCAAAAGCAATCTTCTCTTTTAATCTTCTCGATTAAGACTTAATTTTGTTTTAAAGAAATTAATTAATATAAATCAATGCACATGGTTAGTTATATATGTATTTATAAGCCTAATTATTATACTTCCTATTATTTCTTAACATGATTAACTACTTTGGACTATTCTCATTTGATTAGTCTCTTATTCATTTTGTGCATCTGGGCCGCTTAAAGAATTCTGAGCCTGATTAGACTAGAACTTTCCTTTGACCGATAATTTGTCAGCTATGAATAAAAAATGGGTCTCGAAGAATTTAATTATGAAATATTAAGGAATGATTTAATTTTGGAAGGAAAGTTGCTTGAAGGGAATTCGTGATATGGTCTCACCAGAAACCGAAGGAGGATTGCAATGTATGGGAGACTGTTCAGTTGTTCGATGAAGTCCTTGGGTCACCGTCCTGCGTCCTCGATGAAACTACGATACGCTTTCGTCAGTACTGTGATGCATCATCAGAACAGGTATCCATACTTCACGAAGTAGAGCAAAGATATACTAAAC